CAAAAGGCGGTCTTATTGCTAAACATTCTTAAATATTGTTAAAAAAACTGAATTAATACGACTAATGGTTAAGATCGCTTATTACCATTATATATTCGAATATACTCGGCAAAATGTGGGCACGTCGACTGTAACGTTAACCACAATGGTAACAGACGACGCTGTATCTTGGCTTCATGGACTGTGAAGATGTCTATGGTTACTTCTCATGTGTTGCCATTATTCCTGTGAACTCAGATGTTAAGCCTCCATATTACTGTTCACCGCAATACCCACTATCATGTTCCATTAGCGCAGAGTTGCCATACGCGAATTTTGATGTTTACCAAAATGCCAATATATTTTCTCCAAATTGATACGATTTCGTTTATATTTTAATCAGTCCAACTGTTTTGTGGCTACGATAACAAATACAAAATACTCGAAACCAAAAACATTTCTCTTTTTATATCAATAAAAAAACATTGAAAATTTTTCTTGTCGCCAATATAATGAACATTGCTAGCTTTTTAACAACCCATATTTTAACCGATTAATGTCCACTCACAAAACAATAGAGTACAAGTATGGGATGGTAGCGACATACTTCTATTGTCAAATTAAACAAAGGATCAGCTTTAAAGCGGACTAACCTATCCCGCGGGAACGCAATAAACGTATCAGTTGTGACTGCCCTTGGCAGCTATTGTGAATGTGAAAAGAGGGTGAAACATATATAAAAGAGTTATGTGAACATTGGATATCGCTTTGTAGATAAATACCGTTAGTATTTTGTAATGTCGCATGAAGTTCGTGTTTGGCACTTCTAATATGGCGTCACTATAATACTGTCATGTCACTGTCACAGACTATTCCCGCCAAAATACATGATTGATTTTATGTTCTTTTAAGCCTTATCTAAAATGAGAAGATTCTGGATTCGTTACACCTATTGAAGTGAAAGAAATAAATGAGTACCTACGTAAATGAAAGGTTTTTTTTCTGTTAATAATTGAATAATAAAAAAAATACAAGGTCGTAACGGTGAACAAATGTGACAAAATGTCGAATATACATTTATAAAAAAAGAAAATTGTAAAAAATGTAAGTAACAAACAGTTCTATACGTTTATATTTTTAGCGACTTCCAAAACAAATAAATGACATATCCTTTCTAATAATAAAATATTTTTTTAAATTGCATTATTAATGACTCTGAGTTATGAGGTAATAAACATAAAAAAAACATTCGAATCGTGAACCTCCTCCTTTTCTACCAACTTTAAAAGAAGGTAATCAATTCGGTTATTTTTTTTTAAGTTTGTCGCCTCATAACTCTGTCAGTTATAAACCGATTTGGAAATTTCTTTTTTTATCTGAAAGGCTATACTTACAGATTGGTCTCATAGAAATTTAATTAAAATCGGTTTAGTAGTTGAGTTTTGAAATCAAAATAACTGGTTTTGCCACAATTTAAGTAGTTTTTTTTTTTTGGAACTCAATTTAATTATTTGAAGTTGTTTAAAAATAAGAAAGGTGAGATTATTAGCAAATATCAATTTTGTCATCATTGAAATCATTTTTTTTATTTAAAATCTACTTTATTATTATTTACTGCCACATGTAATATAACATTTAATTGAATTTATACAAATTTATGTGTTTGTATCTACTAACATTGTGGCTATATTCAACGCAGACTGCAAACTTCACGTTTTGAACTTTAATTACCCGTGACCCTACACTCCTAAAGTGGGCTTTATTTCAGTTTTATAGCCTGCCGTCCAAATAAAACGGGCGACATTGCAACTTTTGCATTTTCTTTTTGAACTTAAAAAAGAAATTAATTCATAAACAAAAATATATCTAACAGCAGAAATTTGACCATTGCGAATAGGCATAGGTATCATGAGTTTGAATTTATATGGGCAAAACAATCGTTTTCAACGTGGATATAGTTAGAAATAGATAACGCAAATAACTACATCAACTTATATACAAACAAATTTAAACGATTTTAAAAAAATAGATTTTCAATTATATTTTTAAAATACTTATATATTTATGTATAGCACTATTACATATTTGTAAATTTCAGAACTGATTTTAATATGTTGAGAAGAGAAATTTTACCAGATAATATTATAAATGTGGAAGTGAATTTGTTTGTTTGTTATCTCTTAACGTCTAAATATATCACTTTGATATTTGATCTTTAGGTATTATATGGAACGGAGAGAGACAAGCTATTTTTCCCAGTCAGAAAATATATAATGTATATATATATATATATATATATATATATATATATATATATATATAAGAGAGAGAGAGAGAGAGAGAGAGAAATTTGTAATCATAAAATAAGAGAACGTAGGTTCTACTAAGGTCTAGACTATACAATTATCAGATAAATGGCCGCGTGTCAGTACTGGGAAAGAAACAAATCACGAAAAAAAATATATTTATATGAAATAAATTATAAAATTTGCCTTGCGGTTTCGGCGTACAAACCGTGGACCACCCCTTACTCTCCCGTGGGTGACGTAAGGGGGAACTTAATGGTCGAAAATGGGCAGCAGCGTTCCTCTTAAAAGATCACTAAGGCCTAACTGCTATTGCCAACCCGCCTGCCAAGCGTGGCAACTACTGGAAAGCCTCCAAGGGAGTGGCCTATGTCCAGCAGTGGACAGGTAACAGCTGATCTGAAGTTATGAAAGCAAACACGTAAAGAAATGTATATAAGCATAGAGCCCACTGGCACTTGTATGTGAAGTTAATATAGATAAATTATCCTAGTATCTTACAAAAAAAATATAAGTTCCACGCCAAACTCTTCCCAAAGTGCCATCTGTATATAATGCTGTTTTTGTGACTCCACAAAAAACTTTCTCAGCATAAATTTCCTGTAGAAATTCGAAAACGAAATTTATCCAAGCGGACTCTTTCGGGGTTATATTTAGGGGGGAAATGGCGGTCGCGATATCTATTTAACTCCATATCTATGGTCCGCAAGCTCTATCAAAATATAAAGTGTATTGTAACAATCTTCCTACAGCTATTCCTCTGCGCTGAAATACTCGTGGAGTTTTCTTTTCAATTTCAAACTGTCTCGCGCTCCGTTCGATATAAGGGTTTGCTTTGGATTTGTGTGGATAAGACTACATGAAAGTGAATTTATTTATTTACTATTAAATACCATTTTGGCGACGAAGTCGTGGTTAAACTAATACAGTTTGAAAAAGTACACTTTGCTTCATAAAAATAAAATACGGGTTTGTAATTTCGTAGATATACTCGTATTATAGTAAACTGGTGTCTATTATATTCGTAGTATTCATAATAAATATCGTATAAGATATAATAATCTATATATATTACATATATAAAAAAGGGGTTGGAGTCTGTCTAACCCATTAATTAGCCGAGAATAAAGAAAATGATAATAATATAAATAATAAATATCTGTATTTAAATTGGCTTAAAATAAATTTTCACCCATGATACCCCCATGCGTTGCCATTCCTGAGGACTCAGGTGTTATTCCTCTGTACCCAGTAAATTCACGTCATATCCCATCCTTCAAACCGAAACACAGCCATGCAAACACAACTGCTTCATGGTTGAAACACGAATGGAACAGAGGTACCCAAGCAATCGACTTTTGTACAAAGTCTCCCTCTGGTACCTATCATCTCTCATTGATATCTCACCAGCGTAATCTAATAAATAGTATACGGCCAGATGTAATAGTGTATTCCATTTTCATTCATTTACAAAAACCCATGTCCATACATTTCTTTAGTGCCATAACAAGACGCAATGTCTAAAATTCGCTACTATAGGGAAGGAAATACTGAAAAAAAGATACCAGAACTTTGTCTAATAGAATTTAAATTGTCTCCTTATATCGAAGTCGTTTATATTGCCCACTTAGAACCGGTATATAAGTATGTACTTTATTACCAAAGAAATAAGGAGTGAATTTCAACAAAGCAATCTTACGAGTTTAAGATATATTTTCCAATACTTACTTGAAATGAAAACTGCAGGCTCATATTGAAGTTTTATTGTAAAAGGAGTTTAAATTATTTTTGATCTACTAATATTTTCCGGGTTTATTAAAAAAAATAAATACCACTGAACACATTTGCCCCGCGCCATCTAGTCCTAAACTAAGTAGACCTTGTACTATGAATAATAGATTATAAAGAGACTACGAAAATACGATGTACTACGAATAACAGAGGGCCGACTTGTTTCTACTAACACCTATTATATTTATTGGCAAAGAGGGAGAGCGGTGAAAAAAAAAACATATATATATATTTTTAATGCAACTTAGAATGGCAAACAACCTACCTGATAGAAAGTGGTAATTGTCACCTATAGACATGAGTAGTATCATGGACATAACAGAGTATACTGTTTCGCCCATGATCCTATATCTCCCACGCATTGCCATTCCTGAGGACTCAGGTGTTATTCCTCTGTACCCTGTAAACTCACTGCCATATCCCACCCTTCAAACTGAAACACAGCTAATTAAATACTGTTCATATTCAATCTATATTAGCTTGAAAACTATAGATGGAATACGAACAGTATTTAAAATTATTGATACCCATTAATTACTGGGGGTAAGGGATTATGAGTAATGTGGATTATCAGTCCCACTGCTAGCAATATATCCTATTAGGTCGAACTCCACATGGTTCCCCCTGGAAACTATTGTGCCAAATTCCAGGTATATTCATCACGATAGGCTAACTGACCTGCCCTTTCATCCTCACCTATTATCCCTCACTGGTGCCCCGCCCGTGTATACCGTTACCATTTAATTGCAGGTAGGGTTACCATTTTATTATCATCGATTGAACCCATTAATTACTCTCTCTCAGTGAATAGATAGATACTCTTTATTGTTTCCTCCAGATAAAAAGATAAAACCTTCCAAGAAATGAGTTCAGGATTTCATTGATTTGATATACCTAAAGAACATAAAAGCCTTTAAGAATTACAAAAAAAAAGGAATTTCAAAGACAAACTCAAGGTACATCACTTTTATTACTGTTATCAGGTCGTTTAAAGGCACACAATGTACATACAAACTCTAAATTGCCGTTAACAACTGATATTTGACTACAAACCTCATGAATATGTTTCATACATTTTTTACAGGTTTTTTTATTTGAAATTTCATGATGACATACAAAACATTTTAGTATAGTATCATCACTATCTGAATTATCAACATCAGACATAATTTCATTCACCTCAGATACAGTATTAGTACTGATAATCTTCTCTATTAATGCATCTAAATAGGCATGAGATTTCCCAGTGTGTTCGACTTTCGTCCAAGTGGGCGTAGCATTAAGAGGATAATTGCAGTGATGATTAAAAACTTTTATGTATGGAACAACTCTCCTGTTCTCAGGACCTCGAAACACTACATCATCAGGTGCATTATTTAACTGCCACTGCAGCATTTGAATAGCAGCCGCCCAAGATCTGCTATTGGACGACACTATCCATTCCTTTAACATCAATATCACCTTCTTGTTGTGTCTAGAAAGATTTGAATCGTCACAAGCTGTAACTACAACATCAAAGTCACCGCACAGTTTGTTTACTCTGTTCATAGCCGTAGTATGGAGCGCCAGATGATTACTCGTTCTCAACAACCTTGGTGCACCAAAAGTGGTGAAGATCTTCATGAATTCAATGGTTAAATATGTCTCAGTTATATTAACTATTGGTCTCAAAATTGCAAAACCAGTCACTTTATCCACCAACATTATTATATAATTGAAAGGGTCATCAAAATACTGTCTCAAATCAATAATAGAAATATAACATTCATCATAGAAATTAACTGATTTTTTCTTAACTGGATTATTGCAGTGACAAGTTGTGTGAAGTTGGAAAAATATTTCCACGCACATAATATTAATACTGTAATTTTTAATTAGTAACTGCAGAAGTTTCTCTTGGTTACAATGATTGTTTTCAATGTGTGTCAACGCAATTAAATCAAAGCTCTCATCGTCAGGGATTACCTTTAAAATCGGATCTGTCGCCGATTTTCTTTTTAGGATGAGCTTCTTCCGACCATTTTCGAATAATATATCGTAGCCTGCTAACACACGCAATTCGAATGTTGTAAATGGAGTCTTTTTCCTTTCTTCCTTGCTTTTCGCTTTGCACCTCTCAATCACTGTGATAAGACCATCATAAGATATTCTTGACCACGGATATGTGGCTCGAACTATAGAATTGTTTTTAAAACGGTGTGAAACGAGTTTGTAAAAGTGTACTTTAAGTAACTCATAATCAAAATGTTCCATTTCCGTCTCAGGTCAATCCCTACAATCTTATGCCGGTATTGTTTATTTAATTTATTAAAATAAAAGATTAGACTATTATTACATATAATTTGAAAACATTACGATGACAATAAATTAACAAAATTGCCAGATACAATTTTTTATTTTTACCCAAATGTCAAATATTATTTTCCAATCGATATTATTTTCTTCACTTTTACTCATCATCATATCATTATTTGAATCTTTATAATTAGAACGTGGTCATCATATCAGCGGTTAACTTTCCACTGCTGAACATAGGTTTTAACCACCATTACTACTGGCACCTTCCCCTTTTTATCAGTAGTGGCAACGCTTGGCAACCACATTTAGGTTTAATGATGTTTTAAGAGGGTTTCTGCTAGCTATCTCTCGACCATTTAATTCCATTAGTCGCCTCTTACAATGCTCACGGGAAAGAAAGGAATTTTCTATGTATGTAAGGTAGCCTTGTATGCCGGGCCCGCACGACGCAACGCCGCGACGGTGTAGTAACTTAATTTTGCCAAAATTACATAATACAATTTTTATCCAATATTGCGAAAAATGTCTATTGTAGCAACCCTAGACAATACAAGAATACGAAATCTTTGACAAGAACAGCATTGTAAGTGACTTATAGTAGTTGACATTGACAGCACAGAGTAAATAATAACATTGACAGTTTATTACATTATGATTACCGTCGACGGTCTATTTAGAAGAAATTTATCCTTTTACTGCACATACACTTCGCGAACATTTATTAATTATAAAATAAATAAATAAATGTGTAACAAATACTAAGTGTATAAAAAAGTGTCACCTCGTACGATTGCTTATTATCAAGGAAATTGAACACAAACTAAAGTAATTTCACTAATTTGTTTACTGAACAGTTTTTTTTGTGCAATATACTCGTAGATATAAATAAGATATTAATATTTCGCACAAGTTTTATAACTTGGATTCTCAAGCTTTGTTGTCAAAATGTATATAATATAAAACGAGAGATATCATTGATAAATACCTATAGATAAAGAAATGTAAACCTCGCCAGGTCGATTTCTACTGGGTTAATCATGAAAATGTAATGGTTAATCATAGAATTTTCTCCCGCGATCGGTCAGCCTATAGAATGAACATAGACTATAGTATGGAGTTCTTCAAAAAGGGTAAAAAATAAAGGTTTCTTCAGGATTGGTAACGTGCACGTTATACCTCTAGTGTTGCAAAAGTACAGTTTACCATTAGACGGACTGTATACCTGTTTGTCATCTTTGTGGTAATAAAAAAAATCTTGAAGGGCCAATTGGCCTTACTTTATTAGGAGTGAGGAATTGTGACTAATGGGGACTCTTTGAATATCTAATTACAAGCAATATATCCTAGCAGGCCGACCACCACGCGGTACTTTATAGAATTTATTGTGGTTAATTTATGAGGATTTTGTCACGATGAATTAATTGACATAATTCATTCACATTTATCCTTCTTCACTGAGACTCCGCCAACAGCACCACTTCATTTTCATTAATAAAAAATAATAATAAGGTATACTCTGCTTAGTTTGAAACTAGATGGCGCTTTGTGATATTCTATAAGAAATTCTAATATATCTTCTATGATAATAACTTCCAGCAAAGACAGGCAAATTTAAATGCAAACTATATAAGTACTTCACCATCGTAGATAACTATGGTGGTAAAATACCTAGTAATCAGTTTGAAAAGGTCTTGCTTCCGATAGAAAACAAACAGCGCAATAGAAGGCAGAAGTTTTCAAGATTAAAGTTGGTCGGTACAGCGGAACAATTTATTAGTATTGGAAATACCCAGTTCCAGACTTAGGGGGTACACGTGTTGCGCTCAGGGGCGCTGGGATCTAAGAAAAGGATCAAGGTCCAAAAGGATTGCCGAATGGAGGTGAAAAGAACGCCTTTAATTTTTAAATAGCATGTAACCTTGATGACTGTTTTTTATCTTCAGAGGTACCTACGAGCGACGTTAATATTTTAACATCCTGAATTACTGTACCTGTACCGTGTCAAAACTCAGTACGTAAGTATGTTATACTAAGCCTATGCGTATACTTGCACATGGTCTTTAAATAGGCTAAGTGGGGGGAAAGGGATTGTTAGTAATGAGGTCTAATAACCCCGTTGCTAGCAATTGACCCTCTCAGGTCGACCTCCACGCGGTTTCCCCTGGAAACCATCATGGTTAATTCTTGTCGAATTCATCATGGTGGGCCAACTGACCTGCATTCATTCTTACCTATTATCTTCCACTGGTGCCTTGCGCGGGCGGAGTTAACATTTTATTTTTATCTATTAAAAAAAAAATAGGCTAAGTCCGGCCCTGAAAATACCTGCTTTTATTCACTTCTATATACTGACCCTTAATGTTTTTCACCTTTATATAATACTAATGACCTGCCCCGGCTTCGCTCGGATGCACATTACATCACATTAGAAACGTCTAAAAGTTATCAGTGTTCTTCTACTATATTATACATGTGTTATATATATATATATATATATATATATATATATATAAACCTTCCTCTTGAATCACTCTATCTATTAATAAAACCGCATCAAAATCCGTTGCGTAGTTTTAAAGATCTAATTATACATAGGGATGGACAGACAGAAAGCGACTTTATTTTATACTATCTAGTGATAGTAATATATATATATATATATATAATTTAATATAATAATTTTTAGATTTTGTCTATCTTTATTTGTATATTGTTCCGGTATCATACAAAAACTACTGTACCAAATTGAATGCGGTTTCTCCCAGTTGTGTTCCTATAGGTCATAAAAAACTTGTGTATGTATTATTTTGATACGTGTGATATGATGAAAATTAAGTTATTTCAGGCGTAACTTATATTGAATGGTAATTTAGTCAAGTGAAACAGGTACATTATATAACAGTTAAACTAGGTATATACTGCGGTTTTCTTCAAATTTTTATCTGCGTGTATTTTATCAAAATTCGTATATCAGTTTAAGAGTAAGTGAGTGACAAACATATAGTACAGACATAAATATTTCTACAAAAATTGATTTGAATTTATTTTAAAAGAACAGTTTTAAAAGATTTTATATCAACTCAACTATACTCAACTCTTGTCGATAAAAAGTGTTTTAGTGATGTTTTGTTTAAACCAATAATCGAACTACATTATTGTTTTAATACAGTTGTTCTCAACTTTTTCTGGATAACGACCCCTTTTAGAAAATAAAATTACTCCCATTAAAAAAAGAAATCGCTCCCGTTAATATAAATATAACACCTCCATTTTCCTCTAAATTCACTACTGCCACTACGGAAGACTAAACCAACTTCTGGACGGCTTGAGAGCCCTCTAGGGAACGATATCGTCTCCATTAGGTATTATTATCTACGTATCTTTTTTAATAGAAAATCGAATAGAAATATAAACGAAGTATTTTTCAAATACTAAACTTTCTTAGGATGTCAATGGAATGGTTACCCCGCCTGTGCATTGGTATACACTGGCGGGGTACCAGCGAGGTAGACGAATTCAACATAAATCAATCATGATGGTTTCTACGGGGACCGCGTGGAGGCCGACCTGATAGGATATATTGCTAGCAATAGGATTGCTTATCTTCATTACTAATAATCCCTTTTCTACCCATTACTCTATGGTTAGTGTTTTTTATTATTCAGCAGCTTTTTTTATTTTTTATTATTATTTATTTATTTTTCTTTGTCTTCTGGGATGGGCAGCAGCGTCCCTCTTAAAACATCACCAAAGCCTAACTGCTAACCCATCGGTCAAGTCTGGCAATAACTGGCAAAATCCCCCTAATGGGAGAGGTCTATATTTAGCACTGGACTGTTAACGGTTAATATATTAATAATAAAAAAAAAATTGAATTTTTTTATACAAAAATCCATAGTTCTTTTATGCATGCAAACGAAAATTTTAATTCTTAAGTGAGATAGGCAAATTAGAGTGGATGTGTACAAGTAATATAAGTGCATATATGATACCTGAAACGTCCCAAGTTCAAGGCAATGGTAACAAGTCCTTTTTATTTTAATTTTTATGACTCTAATGTACTAAGCAAAATAAAACAAGTCAAATAGATGTCTCTGATTACCAATCCTGAGATTACAATAATACTCCAGACCTTTTAGACAAGTGCCAAGCGAATTCGTCAATAGAATCGACATCGCTAGTGAGTCCGTGAATTGGAATGAGACATCCGACGTTGCTATCTCATTTTATCTCACGGACTCGCTAGCGATGTCGATTCCATCGATGAATGCACTTGTCACTTGTCTAATAGGCCAGGTGTGTGACATTAGTGAGAAACTTTGTACAAGTCTGTTTATGTACCTCTATCTCACTCATATTTCTGCCATGCCATAAAACAGCTATGCTTTCATGTCTGTGTTACACTTTGACTAGCAGTAAAGTTACAGGGTACAGAAGCATAACACCTTACTCTTCATGAATATCAAAGCATGAGGGGAATCACTGAGGTCACAGTATATTTTGTAAAGTCCAAAATAATCACTGTCTATCAGGTGGCCCGTCGACTTGTTTGCCATTTTAAGTTGCATAAAAAACAATATAGGTACTAATAATTCGAGTAAATGGTGAGATTGTTTGGAAGGCATTATTTAAAACCACATTCCGTGCCTGACACGTTCCAGCTCACATACATTTATGGCGTCCCATGTCACTGGAGTGTAAAGCATAAAGAAGCCGACATGTTTTATCCAATACCCCTTTATAGCGCAATAATGCCATGCTTGGTCGCACTCAGACCATAAATTGCTCTTTAGGATAGAGCTACATCGAACGGATGTTCTGTCGTCGATCTTCCGCAGCGAAACCAAACATTATCGAAACTAATAAAGGGAAAAATCCTATTTTTGGTTTGTAATAAATGAATTAAAAAGAAATACTTAATTGATTTTAAAAATTCTCTCAAATATATAGCTCGTAGACACGAGCAGTACTATGGACATAACAGAGTATACTGTTTCGCCCATGATACCCTCATGCGTTGCCTTTCCTGAGGACTCAGATATTATTCCTCTATATATTTGAGAGAATTTTTAAAATCAATTAAGTATTTTTTTTAATTCATTCATTACAAACCAAAAACAGGATTTTTCCCTTTATTAGTTTTGATAATGTCTCTGTAACCGTCGCCTATGGACATAGACAATTTAGTTATAAAACTAAAAACTTGTGTTAAAGATCTTGGCCTTTACATAGACTCATCACTCAGCTGGTCACATCAAGTTGCGGAGGTGAGTCGCTCAGTTGTTGCTACGCTACGCTCCTTATACTGCTTTAAAAACTTTTTGCCTATTGCTACAAAAATTAATCTTGTTCACGCACTAATTATTCCGATTATTGATTATGCTGATGTGTGTTATCCAGATCTTAATGAAGATCTTCTCGATAAGCTGGATCGTCTCCTCAACCAAGCCATACGCTTTATCTTCAACCTCCGGAAGTTCGATCACATTTCTTTATATCGGTCTCAGCTCAAGTGGCTTTCCATTCGTCAACG